CAGAATTCAGTTTTCTATAGTCTATGCACATGCGTTGACCGGTTATAGTTCTTTGGGCTATAAGCTCATCCTTTTCATTTTTAACCACCGTGATCCCACCTTTCTTGGGCACAACTTGAACAGGAGATACCCACCTTGAGTCAGAGATTGGGTAAATTATCCCTGCCTCAAGGAGCTTGAGTATCTCCTTCTTAACCACCTCTTTGAGATTCGGGTTAAGACGTCGTTGATGCTCAATAGAACACATAGCTTGGTCTTCTAGGTGTATCCTGTTGGTGCATATGTCAGGAGAGATTCCTCTAATATCAGCCAAAGAATATCCTATGGCTCTCCTGAACTTTCTTATCTCACTAAGCAATGCACTATCTTCATGCTCTAGCAAGCTATCATTGATGATCACGGGATATGTGGAATTTAAGCCTAAGAAAGCGTACCTGAGCCCTGTTGGTAGAGGCTTGAGCTCAACAGGGGGTGCATCAGCCTCATTCCAATCGGCGTCAAAGCTGCATTGGCTTGGAACAGCTTCCTCAGCCATTTCTTTCTCGCGCAGTTTACCATCGACCTCGGCATAAGATGTCACGGCCATGATACCCCAAGGTGTCTCCTCAACACTCTTGGACTCTCCAATGTCTAAAATGTCGAGGCCACTCATCCTGAGCTCCAGAAACCTCGTCTCAGCTCCAAGTTCCTTTGGTTGGTCCAGGAGACGCTTGTACACCTCGCTTTCCTCGTTCAAGTACCCGTGCTCGCTTTGTTCCCTCGTTAAGACCACTGGTAATGGGTCTTCTGCGTTTAACTCCTCAAGGAGCTCATCAGCTAGCTCCTCCATGGTTTCCACATAGAAAACCTGACCTCCAATGGTCGGTTTCTTCATCATTTCCTTCACGTCGAATTTCATAGTTTTGGAACCGATGTGTAGCTCGATCATACCCCCTCTTACGTCGATGATCGCTCCTGCTGTTGCTAAGAACGGTCGCCCCAAGATTATGCGGTCAAGAGGCTCCTCGTCCATCTCTAGAACTATAAAATCAGTCGGGATCTCAATCTCACCGATTCTCAAAGGCATATCCTCAAGCAAACCCACCGGTAATCTTACCGATCTATCAGCTAATACAAGGGAGATCTTGGCCGGCTTGTACCTTTTAAACCCCAGTCTCTTGGCCACCGTGTAAGGCATTAAGCTCACAGAAGCTCCTAGATCACATAAGCAATTTGAGAACTTCAAGTGACCTATGGCACACGGTAATGTAAAGCTGCCCGGATCGGATAGCTTCCTTGGTATAGACCTCCTTTGAATGATAGCGCTGAACTTGTGACTCAATATTACCATACCCTGGAGCTCCTTTGTCTTGTTGAGAATTGCATCCTTTAGAAACTTTTCGAGCTGTGGTATAGCTAAGAAAGCGTCTATGATAGGTAAAGTCAGTTGCGTGTTCTCCTAAGTCAGTTGCGTGTTCTCCAAGATTTTCTTCTTGAAACGTCCTGGGAATGGTATCTTGGGTTGATAAGGTGGTGGTGGAACATAGGATTTTTCAAGCTCAGGTGTTTTCTCCACCTCTTTACCTTTGTCTTTAATCGGTTCCTTCTCCAAAACCTCATCTTCTTGTGCATCATCTGAGGCGCCTCCCCTCCGATTTGCTCATTGTCCTCAATGAGCTTTGTTTCAGGTGCTGGAGCTTGTAATTCTTTACCACTCATCAGTGTGATGGGGTTCACATACTCCTTGGGGTTGGGCTCCGGCTTACCTGGTAAAGCCGGTCCTCTTGATGATGTTGAAGCTTGATTCATCTTAAGCTCCCTTATATCCTGTTGCATTGTTGTATTCTGGCTCTCAACTCGTTGCTGACCCTGTAACAGCTGCTGTAGAAGCCCACAGACGTCAGGTCCCATCTGATTCTGAGCCGTTCCCTGGTTCTGTTGCTGATTACCCATCGGCTGCGGATTGAACCCTGGTGGAAATTTATGTTGCTGCGGTTGGCTGTTGAAGGTGTTGCTTTGAGCCGGTTGATTCTGCGGACTGTAACTCTGTTGCTGCCCACTGAATTGTTGCTTGGGCTGAAAGCTGTTCTGAAATGGAGCTTTTGGAGCATTGCTTTGTTGAGCAGGGTACACTTGGTCTTGGGGATTAGCTACATTTGGGTTCCGGTAAGAGAGGTTTCGATGATTCCCAAAGTTGTTAAACCGCTGATACCTTTGTTGGTTTCCAATGTAGTTTATCTCTTCTTGAGTTAGACCATCTTCATTAACATTATCAAAGCTCGGCCCTTGCTCATCAAACTCGCCCACAAAGTGTATTGGCTTTTGTGTAGCCATTAGAACCTTGTCAAGCTTGCTCTGTAGCTCTCTTATATCTTTCTCCATGCGCTGTTCTTTACTAGATCCTTCTGAACGGTTTGCCCTGTCAAAATCCTCTCCATACGTGTCGTCATTAGACATGGCGAGGTTCTCCACTAGTTCCATTGCCGCATTTATCTCTTTCCCAAGAAAATTTCCATTGGAAGCTGTATCGAGTTGGTTTCTGATCTTGGAGAGGGCACCTCGGTATAGAGTACTCAGGAGGGATGCCTCCAAAAAGCCGTGATGTGGGCATTGGTTGGTATAGCTCCTGAACCGTTCCCAAGCTTTACTAAAGCTCTCGTTGTTGTGTTGCGTGAAACTTGAAATCTGATTCCTCAGATTTGCCGTGTGTGATGTGGAGAAGAACTTGGATAAGAACGCCAGTTTACACTGCTCCCTGATAGACAAGACTTTTTAGGGTCTCAGGGCTATCAATCCCCTTGTCAATGTAGCACAAAGAGGTTATCAATCCAAGAATGTGGTGATAGACACTAAGCTATGTGATCAGTTTCTCAATTCAAGTAAACAAGAGTTGTTTTGATTGACTAATGACAACTACAAACTTAAAACAAGATTAATGACTAAGGAAATGACAAGTGATGAAAATGAATGTATGATGATGAGAAAGATCTTAGACATGATAGTGGATTAGGGTGCCTTCAGTGATAAACTAGTGAGCTAATGAACCATATGATCAAGCAAACCATTCAACTTAAACATCATTGATTAAGCTAATCCTCTCATGAAGGTATCAACTCCTATGCTAAAACAGTTTCTAACCTAATCATCATTAGTGAAACATGATTCAACAAGCATTAAGAATCAGTTTAATCTGTCATTTAAGTGATAACTAAGATTTTTAAGGCCTTAGATGGGTTATCAATCCCCTTGTCAAAGTAGTATAAGGGGTGTCAATCCATATGTGTGGTAGTTAGGCACTAGTTTATGTGATAGGTTCTTAAGTCAAGTAATCAAAGATGAGTTTTGTGAAACCAGCAACAAGAAAGCATAAAACAAGAAACAAACAAGCTATGATTAATGAACCAAGCAAGCAAACAAAACAAGATGATGGTGATTAAGCAAATGATAAAAGCTAAACCTCTAGATGTGATCATTGATTAGGGTGCTTTAGATATTGAATCATGATGCTAAGAACATAATGCAACACTTGCTACTCTTTAGTCTAGGCTTCTTAATCAGATTAATTCATTCCCATGACAATAATCCCTTTGCAAATCACTTAATTAAGTCTAACAACCATTAGATATAATCAAGCAATCAGCAAGCATAATGCATCAAGCCTAATAAGTGACCAAACAATCTCTCAACCAAGAAGACTGAATCTTATACAGAAAGACATAACAAGAAATCACATGATCTCAAACATTTCAACTTAGAACTCTAATCTAGACTAATCCTCTCATGAATGCATTAATCTCTACACTAATCCACTTTCAAACCAAATCATCATTTGTGAAATATGAATCAATGAGCATTAAGAAACAGTTCTAATATGTCATTCATGCATTTAACAAATCATTCCCATGATGAAAAAGGCATAAACCCTTAAGTTAGCTCATTCAGGCATTTCAACAAACACTTTTGGTGCATGAAATGCCTATGAACCCAGATTTCACTTTCCCAAGGAAATCTGGCATTAGGAGCAGCTAACTAAGGAAATGGAATGAGAATCTAAACCCTAAACATCACCAATCAAACATCTAAGCACCCTAATCTACACACCTAGAAGTTTAAAAGATGACTACTCACTAATCATGAAGAGCCTGAAAACTACTTTGACAAGGGGATTGATAACCCTTCTAAGAGCCTGAAAACTCTTAGTTATCAATTGGCGCCGTTGCCAACTTGTAGGAGAATTAGTCTCTTGTTTGTTCTTGAGTTCAAGCTTTTCTTTCCTTTATTTTACTAACTTCTTTCCAAGTTCTTGTTTTGTTTTCAGGTGCATGAATACCAGGTCTCGGAGCACAGGATCACTTTTCCCATACGACGATAACATCGACAGATTAGAAAGGCGAGCTCGCGAGAGAGAACGGCACTTTGACAGACTTGGAATGGCAGAACAACAGAGAATGGAGCAACAGGCTCAGGCAGCCGAGCACCAGGCTCAGGCTAATCAGGCGCAGGCAGGAAGAAATGAACAACAAGCCTATGTTAATCAGCAACAGGCTCAAAGAAACGAACGGTTTGCTCAGCAAAACCAACACCAAGCGAATAGAAATGAACAACAAGCCCATCATGTTCATCCGCCACCGCCCCAAGTTCAGAGACAACATCCTCCAATCTGTGTTGGAGAGAATGACCGAGCTAATGCGCACCAATACCGAGCTGGGATTCAAGCTCCACCAGTTCAAAACAACAACTTTGAAGTTAAAGCTTCCCTGCTCAATATGGTGCAAAACTCAAAGTTCCACGGTCTGGCTGGAGAAGACCCTCTTGAGCATCTAGATCAATTTGATCGGGTTTGCGACTTAACCAAGATAAATGGCGTCTCCGAAGATAGCTTCAAGCTACGCTTGTTCCCTTTCAGCCTCGGTGATAAAGCACACCAGTGGGAAAAGAATATACTGAGGGGTTCTATACAAACCTGGGAGCAGTGTAAACTGGCGTTCTTATCAAAGTTCTTTTCCACATCACGCACGGCTAAGCTCAGGAATCAGATCTCAAGTTTCACGCAACACAATAACGAGAGCTTTAGTGAAGCTTGGGAACGGTTTAGAAGCTACACTAACCAATGCCCACACCACGGCTTCTCAGAGGCATCCCTCTTGAGTACTTTATACTGAGGTGCACTCCCCAAGATCAGAAACCAACTCGATACAGCTTCAAATGGGAATTTTCTTGGAAAAGAGATCACTGCGGCAATGGAACTAGTTGAGAACCTAGCCATGTCCAATGACACGTATGGAGAGGACTTTGATAGAGCAAACCGTACAGAGGGATCTAGTGATGAACAGCGCATGAAAAAGGATATAAGAGAGCTTCAGAGTAAGCTTGACAAGGTTTTGATGGCGACTCAAAAGCCAATATACTTTGTAGGCGAGTTTGATGAGCAAGGGCCAAGTTTTGACAATGTTGATGAAGATGGTCTAACACAAGAGGAGCTGAATTACATAGGGAATCAGCAGAGGTATCAGCGGTCTAACAACAACAACAGTAACCCAAACCTCTCATACAGAAACCCGAATGTAGCTAACCCTCAAGACCAAGTGTACCCTGCTCAACAACAACAACAAAGCTATGCTCAAAAGGCTCCTTTTCAGAATACCTTCCAGCCCAAGCAACAGTTCAGTGGGCAACAGCACGGCTACACTCAGCAGAATCAAGCGGCTCAGAGTAACAACTTCAACAACCAACCGCAGCAACACAAGTTTCCACCAGGGTTCCATCCGTAGCCGATGGGTAATCAACAACAGATTCAGGGAACGGGTCAGAATCAAATGGGGAACGACGTCTGTGGGATACTACAGCAACTGTTACAGGGCCAGAAAAGGGTTGAGAGCCAGCACGCGACAATGCAGCAAGATATCAGAGAGCTTAAGGAGAATCAAGCTTCTACATCATCAAGAGGCCCGGCTTTACCAGGTAAACCGGAGCCGAACCCTAAAGAGTATGTGAACGCTATCACATTGAGGAGTGGTAAGGAGCAATTAGAGGGGGAGGCAGCCTCAGACGATGCGTGTAAAGAAGCGGTCTTAGAGAAGGAACCGATCAAGGACAAAGGAAAAGAGGTGGAAAAGACAACCGAGCTTGAAAAGCCCTATGTTCCACCACCACCTTATCAACCCAAGATACCGTTCCCAGGGCGTTTCAAAAAGAAAATCCTAGACAAGGCCAAGGCGGTCTTTGAGAAACACTTGGAGAACACGCAACTCACCTTACCCATTATAGATGCTTTCTTAGCTATACCCCAGCTTGGGAAGTTTCTAAAGGACGGGATCCTCAACAAGACAAAGGAGCTCCAGGGTATGGTGATACTGAGCCATGAGTGCAGTGCCATAATACAAAGAAGATCTATACCAAGGAAGCTATCCGATCCGGGCAGCTTCACTTTCCCGTGTGCTTTAGGTCACCTGAAGTTCTCAAACTGTTTATATGACCTTGGAGCTTCTGTGAGCTAAATGCCTTACACGGTGGCCAAGAGATTGGGATACAAAAGCTACAAGCCAGCCAAGATATCTCTTGTATTAGCTGATAGATCGGTTAGATTACCGGTGGGGTTGCTTGAGGATCTACCTTTGAGGATCGGTGAGATAGAAATCCCCACGGACTTTATAGTTCTTGAGATGGACGAGGAACCATTAGACCCTATCATCTTGGGCCGACCGTTCTTAGCAACCGCAGGAGCCATAATAGATGTGAGAGGAGGAATGATTGAACTACATATCGGTTCCGAGACTATGAAGTTCAACGTGAAGGAAATGATGAAGAAACCAACCATTGGAGGTCAGGTTTTCTATGTGGAGGTAATGGAGGAGCTGGCTGATGAGCTCCTTGAAGAGTTGAACGCAGAGGATCCATTACAAGTGGTCTTAACGCGGGAACAAAGCGAGCACGGGTACTTGAACGAGGAAAGCGAGGTGTACAAGCGTCTTTTGGACCAACCGAGGGAACTTGGAGCTAAGGCAAGGTTTTTGGAGCTCCACACGAGCAGCCTCGACATTCTAGAAAGCGAGGAGTCAAAGGGAAAAGAAGAGACACCTCGAGATATCATGGCCGTGACAACTCATACCGAGGCCGATGGTAAACCGCACGAGAATGAAGCAAAGGTCGAGGAAGCTGTTCTGGGCCAATGCAGCTTTGATGCCGATTGGAATGAGGCAGACGCACCCCTTGTTGAGCTCAAGCCTCTACCAACAGGGCTCTGGTATGCATTCTTAGGTCTAAACTCTACTTTTCCTGTGATCATAAACGATAACTTGGTTGAGCATGAGGAACGTGCATTACTTAGTGAAATAAGGAAATTCAGGAGAGCCATAGGGTATTCCTTGGCTGACATTAGAGGAATCTCTCCTGATATATGCACCCACAGGTTGAGTTGGAATACAAAGCCGGTTACCGGAGCATTCACAAGCATTGCGCGTACCCGAGAACTGAACGGCGAACTTCAAAGATCATGGCGGACGGAGCCCCTCCAGACCGAACCAGCTTACCCGGTCTTCACCAAAGTTCGAGATCCATGGAAGATCTTCTCAGAGCATTTGGAATCGCTCAATTCGGAGCAAAGGTTTGGAAGATAGGGTCTCCGGAGTTCACATCGGTCTAAAAGTCTTTTTTCCAGTGATTTCAATGCGGCGCAAAGATGTTAAATCCAGGAAGCCTTCCACTCCCCAAGCTCCGATGGTTTCTTCACCAAAGTTCGAGCTTATTGAGTCATCTTGACTGTGGAACTGGTCCCAGAGCAATTGGAGTCGTGTGCTGAAAGTTACTGCTTCCGGAAGGTGACATGGTCGATACAAGCCTAAAAGAGTTGCGATACGCGCTAAGTATTCTCACAAGCCTCGGTATCTTTACCTTGGCGTCACTCAAGTCGAGGCTCATATCTTGGAAGTATTCTGGACTAGACCTCGTGCCAAAGCCTTGGCATGGTTAGATCGAGGCATGCATACGTAAGAACTGAAGCTGGAAACGACTAAGTGTTGAAAGTACACCTCGGTGTAATGACCTCGGCGTGCATGCTGGACTGTGTTCTCCCAAGCACCTCGACATCATGACCCCTTGACATTTTATCCCGAGGTCCCTTGTCACGAACCCAGAATCAAGAACAGAATGGCTCAAGAACATACACGTGAGGATAGATCAAAGACTAGGGTTCATGCATGTTCTTGTCGTGTTCTTCACGAGATCTTCATCTGGATCCTGACTCACGTGCACGCCTCGGCATGAAGACCTCGGCTTCACTTTCCGACACACCGTGGCACTCACCCATCAACCCAAGCAGGTGGTTCAGTACCCGGTTTGTTCCGGGCTGACCCACGACACTTTCCCTTTGCTATAAATACATTTTGAGACTAAAAACCTACTTATCTTATCTCTTATCTCTTTTTTTAGCTCTAAGAACTTGCCTCTTTTGTGAAACTTGATTAATCTAATCCGATATCTCCTTTTTGCATCAGAATCTTGTTCTTTCTTTATTTCTTTTATCATCCAACATCAAACTCCTTATCATGACTAGCTACACGTCTTGCAAAGGACTTAGTGAGCTCGTTATGATCAGTGAGTAGTCGTTTAAGCGGCTTTAGATAGGTAGATTAGGGTGCTTTCAAGGAGGATTAATGGGTTTAGGTGTCTAGTCTTGCATGTTTCATTCCTTAACCGACGAGATCTCTACGCTGGATCCAAGCACATCACTTGAGATTCAGATCTGAGACATATCTAGCATCAGAAGTGTTTGTAGAAATGACTGAACCATTCGGTTAAGGGTTTAAGAGTCTTTCATCGCGAGAGTGATAGTTTGTTCTCTTAAATGACGTTTTTGAACCGATTCTTATTGCTGACTGATTCGTGTTTCTCCAAAGGGATTTTGGTATGAAAGAGGATCAGTTTAGACGTTTAATACTTTCATGAGAAGATTAACGTGCCTTGAGTTCAAAGTCAAATGAAATCGCTTGATAAAATGATTCATTAGCCCCTTAGTCTAACTTGGAAGCATCGAGTCAAATATCCTGTCTAAAGCTTCTGCCTTTATCATTCATTACCATCATCTGAATCACCTGTTTGTTATTTGCATCTTGATTAGTTTAAATCTCTGCTTTTATTTAACTTTATTGCTCATTTGCCTGTTAATCATCGTCACCAAACTTTTATCATCTTGTCTTGACTTAAGTGAACAAATGACATAGGCTAGTGTCTCGTTTACAAGCTTGGTTTGACACCCCTTATACTACTTTGACAAGGGGATTGATAACCCTTCTAAGAGCCTGAAAACTCTTAGTTATCACTTGGGAAGTGGAAGGTTTCCTGGAGGGCTCGTCTTCGCAGTGCATTGACACGATCAGAAAGAGGCTTCTAGATGTGTGTCCATTCCGGAAACGTTATCTTCTTGCTCACAGCTCCGAATTGAATGATCTCAAACGTTCTGGAAAGAGGACTCCAATATCTCGGTTTCTGAGGAAGGCCCCGTAAACTGAATCGGTCTGTAAGTGCACCGTCCTTCGCATTCTTCGGAGCTCATCGGGTCGGTCCAAAACGGCAGCGAGACAGGAGTTCCTTCCGACAAGCTTAACTCTCTGCTCACGTTTCCGAATTCTATGATTTCACTTGCTCTGGAACCGTGATCCAATCGTCTCCAACTTTGATGAAGCAACCGACAGCTGAATCGGACCGGAAGGTTCCCCGGACAGGCGATTTCGGAAACGTGTCTGCATCCGGAAATTTTGGCCGAGGAATTCATTAAGCCAGTACGCGTTTTGGCCGAGGAATCCACCCGCGGTACATGAGAATGGCCGAGAAAAACCTTCCTGCGGTACGCGAGAATGGCCGAGAACCTCCAAAACCCATTTTCACAATCTTTCAAGCTTTGATCACCATTTCTCTTCCTGGATTCATCCTTTCAACTCCAAATAGCTCCAAATACACCTGATAAACACTCAAAACATGCAAAGACTCATTGGGACCTAATGCAACTCCTAAGTTCTAAAACAAACCCTAAGGACCTAAAATGCATGAAATAAAACATGATTTGGAATTGAATATGCAACCTAAATGATGCAAATTATGAACATATCAACTCCCCCACACTTGTCCTTTGCT